TTAATGGGACAATAAATTTAATTTATAAAATATATTATTTTATTTTTTATTAAAATATTTAAGTTCCAACAATTCTCCCACTATTTTAATAAAGAATAAACCTTTCTTTGGGCAAAGATGGATTATTATGCATAATAAAGCTAGTTAAGCCTTGAACCTTTACTTAGTGAGTCAACAATTCTTAATCCAAAGTCAATAGTGAACTAAGTCTTGAACTATGACCCAATTGAAAGATACAAGAATTGTATCACACACATAATGATCCGAATGTTGAGTTTTTTCACACAGCTGGCGCATTATGGCCTTGCGCATGATCCCGGTTTTCATAGGTGATCTAGAAAATTGCCCATCCAATTTTCATAGAAACGACCTTACTTCAACACCCACATAGGTGAAATTTGTCAAGGGTGCTCCCATAACTAAGACACCCCACTCTATGAGCTACAAATTTCATTAAGAGTATAAAACTCAACCCTCAATTCGTTATGGGATAGATGCATCCTCACCATAGGAATGGGACCGAAATTTTTTTTGGTTAAATATTGATGCATCTTTCAACAATGACTTCTCTATGATTCATTTTTCCCATTCGAAACCCAATCTTAGAATTCGGGTTGGGTATCCTCATAGGAAGTTCTACATTATTGGGCTTGAATCCCATTCCCCTCAATGAGCACTAGACCTTGGACTATGATCATAGATTTTCCTTCAACTTTTGTTTTTGCCAAAAGCCTAGTTGGTGGTATAGTGGGTAATGAAGAGAATTAACTCATTTTTTTTCTCACTTTTTCACATCAACCCACATGTCTACTAGCTCATAAAATTCACATTCATTTTTCTCAAATTTTCAATTCATGGTACCACAATTTTTTTTTTTTAATATCAAATTGAGCTAGTGAACCACCATTTTCTTTCCATACATGTCAAAACATGTATTTAAGAATTTTTAACTCAAACACCATTGTACCTTATTGTACAATAAGAATGTCCATCACATACCCCTTTTCTCAAGTGCCTTATTATTTTTTCATCATACACCATTATACCATAATTGTATAATAGGAATGCATATCACATTTATTTTGTTAAGCACCCTTATACACTTATTGTATAATAGGAGTGCATATCACATTTGTTTTCTTAAGCACCATTACACCTTATTGTATAATAAGAATGCTATGCAAAATCTCAATTAGATATCATTGGTCTCATCACCAATAATAATATATAGGGATATCACAATCCCTCACATTGGGAGCATCTCAAATATGTGATTATCACATTTCTCAAATAATTGAGTTCATGAAGAAACTCATTTTGCTCACAAGTTTTTTATAAGAGCATATTTGCTCATCTCACTTTTTATTGCCATAAATGGCTCCTCGGTTATGCAAGCTTAAAAATTTAGCTTACATTTCTGGAATAAACTGACCCAAATTTCATGTCCATCTTTTACCAAAAAAAGTTGGATGGACCAAATCGGGTGGCTCTTTGATTTTCAAAATTTTCACTTGTTTCACCAAATAACTCGATAACATAGTCAATTAAATACACATATTTATTCACCTTTTTTTTTTCACTGAAAAACAATAATCACCAATTAATTATATATCAATAGAGCATATTAAAGCTCATAAATTACAGAATAAAAAGCACTTCTAATGAGTAGAGCTTTTATATCCATAATTTCATGTTAAAATATATGCTCTACCCATGATCCCATTTAATTCAAACGGTTACTATCATAATACTCAATATTATGAGAAAACTATCACATTAATATGCATGCATTTATCAATTAATATAACATTAATGCTAACCATTAGGTCCATAACCATTCATATAAATATGATTAAGTAATAAATCACCATTGCATATAAATCAATAATCATCATGACAAATAAATTGCCTATGAATGGTCACGTATGTCTTTAAGCCAAATTAATCACATATATATATATATATATATATATGAATGCATGTATAGGAGACGTTAAATTGCATGTAGAATGCATTAACATTTTTTTTTTAGCCGTTGAGTATTTGTTATACCATGCAAGAAGTATGACATTAATCACTATCATCAACTAGCAACATAAACCTTATAGATTGCTAGACATGCTTGCATGTATTTTCAGCAAAACTAAAGAATTCGATTCGTACTTGCTTGGAGCATATATATTCCAAAAAATCAAAATTTTTATTTTGCTTACACAAAGTAGCACATGTTTCAATTTTGTTTTCCATGTTGAATTGCCTTAAAATTGTTGTTCTCGAACACTCTCCTCCATCTCCACATCATGTCATTGTTGTGCCTCGGTTACAAGATCAAATAAAATAATAGTTAGTGAACTTATCAAGAAATATTGATAAGAAAATATCATCTAAATAAGCGTGAAAAGCTTACTTACTTTAAGGCAATTCATGCCTCTGCGAAGAGTAGATCAACCGGTGCAGCAGAGATACATAAAGCATGTCACCCCTAGGATACTATAGCTTTATAATAACACTCTATGGATCTGCACTACCCATAGAGTCACCTTACTCAAAACATCCTTCTTTACCCAAAAATATTTAGAAAATAAAGTGAGGTAAGAAAGAATAGAGGAATGTGTAGAAAAAACATTTTTTAGCAAAAGACATGTCCTATTTATAAGACTTATGGTCTTGTAACTCCCATTTGTAAGTTAATGATAGGAATAAATTGGGCAATTATTATAAAATAATGTGCCCTTAAATAAGACAATTAACCTCCAACGACTAGTTTGATTAAGTCCTTAATGGGACAATAAATTCAATTTATAAAATATATTATTTTATTTTTTATTAAAATATTTAAGTTCCAACATCATCACTAGTCAAAGCCATTTTCTATGCAAATGTAGCTGTGGGAAGCAATGTCATAAAATAGTCATAGTTATCAATGCTTTGAGACACTCCATTGTTGATTGTTGATTCCAACACATTACAAGGGTTGCAGATGGAGTTGCTCAGTCGATTATAAAAAAAAAAAAGAGTTGCTCATTGGATTGCGTCAACAAATCATAAGAGGATGTCAATTGTCTCTTGGATTTCCAGATAGGGGTGAGCATTGTTATGTCACACAATGCCAACTACATTATAATGTTATGCGGTGAGCTAGTGACAGGGCATAATGATAAGTACATTGATTATCAGTGATGATTACTAATTATTAATTTATATTGGCACAATAATGACAAGACATACCCATTAACAGCCACGTATATATATATATATATAGAGTCCAAAACCCTTATTTACAAAACCCTTATTTACACCATTCATTTATATTATTTTCGCAATCATCATCTTCCAATATTTTTCCTTTTTATTCACACTTTTTACTTTTCATAACTAATGAAAAACTCAATATAATTGTCACGATACCATTAAAAAATACATTACGTGACACTTAAAATTTGACGTGACACTATATGATATTAATAATTCAATGTGAATCCCTTTCTTATGATGTGACTTATTTTCTGCATGGACACCACGTGTACAGTAGGATCCATTGCACGTGGGACATCAGATCTATATGCCTTTAAATTTTTTTTCTTAACTAACTATTCTTTTAGATCATTGTGAGCTACAGGATGCCGGCCCTTGCATGCTGCGTAGATGCTACGCCTCCTGGCTACGCGGCCTTCTTTGCCGAGGAAGGTTCCCATGCCTCGTCGATTCCTTTCTCTTCCACAACCACCACCGCCACCATTGCGGCTGCCATTGAGAACTCAAACCCATTAGCCACCCTCTGGACGCCCCTTCTCTCCACCGCCCTTTACTGCATCGATGCTTGGGGCCAGCCTTACTTTGGCGTCAATCCCTCTGGCAACATCTCTGTTCGCCCTTACGGCTCGAGAACTCATCCTTGTTGGAGTTAATCCCGATTTTGAAGCTAATTGTTTTGAATGAGTCTTAGTTAATGGAGTTTATGTGCCCTACTATTGTGGTTGCTGATAGCCACGTTTCCTTATCTTTAAGTTTCAGTTTGTAGTGGCTAGAAAATAGGAGTTTATGCTTTATTAGCCTATTATAAATAGGCAGTTGTTATTCAGTTTAATGGAGAGGAGAACATAGAGCAGACTAAGGTGGAGAAAATCTTCCAGACACTTACACCAAAATTTGAGCACATTGTGGCAGCAATAGAAGAAGCCCACGATTTGTCCCAAATGATTGTTGAAGAGTTGTCAGGCTCATTAGAAGCACATGAGCAGAGAATGAATGAGAAACGGACAGAGAAGCCGATTGAGCAAGCCTTCCAAAGCCAAGTTTCCATCAAAGGTGATCAAGGTGGTGAAACAAGTCAAAAGCATGGTGGTTCTCGTGGTAGAGGACGAGGACGTGGTTTTTACTTCAACAAAGGTCAAGGTGATCATAACAACAATTATGGAGTAGGTGGTGATGACCAAGAGAAATCAAACTTTGGCCATCGACAGAATATAAGAGGTCGTGGTCGTGGTCGTGGTACAGGAAGGTATGACAAATCTCATGTTGAGTGTTATTCTTGTCATAAACATGGTCATTATTCAAGTGAGGGCAGATATAAGGAGAATGATCAAAAGGCTCATTATGTACAAGAGGAAGATGACAGTGAATATCATGCTCTTTTGATGGTTACATCAACAAATGAGGCATCAAATTATCACACATGGTTTCTTGACACTGGATGTACTAATCATATGTGCGGTAAGAAGGAGTTCTTTGTTGATCTTGATGAGTCGTATCGATCCAAGGTCAAATTTGCAGATGAAAGCACCGTACCAGTGATGGGAAAAGGGAGAATCCTCATCAAGTTGAAGAATGGAGATCATAATTATATTTCAGATGTGTTCTATGTGCCGGATATGAAAAGCAATCTACTTAGCTTGAGTCAATTGCTGGAAAGGGGTTATAATATGCTCCTATGTGATAATCAACTCTCCATTTTTGATGTAAAAGGTACACTTATTCTTAAGGCTCCTCTATCAAAAAATCGTATGTTTCGAGTTGACATTGCCAGTGAGGTTTACACTTGCCTTAGTGCTATTTTAAAAGATGATTCTTGGTTATGGCATCTTCGTTTTGGTCATCTAAACTTTCGAAGTTTGAAGTTGCATGCTCAAAAAAATATGGTGAAGGGCTTGCCTAGCATAAATCATCCAGAGCAATTGTGTGAGGCTTGTACTCTCGGAAAACACAACAGGTTACCATTTGTGGCTAGAAAGAATTGGCGTGCAAGAAAGCCATTAGAACTTGTTCATTCTAATGTCTATGGCCCAATGAGTGTTACATCAACTGGTAACAATAGGTATTTTCTTACCTTCATTGATGATTTTACTATAAAAATTTGGGTCTATCTTCTGCAAATTAAGTTTGAAGTTTTGAGTTGTTTTAAGAAGTTTAAGGCTCATGTTGAAAGACAAAGTGGTCATTGTATCCAAATCTTACGAACTGATGGTGGGGGTGAATATACCTCCAATGAATTTCATGAGTATTGTGGAGAACAGGGTATACAACATCAAGTTACATGTCCCTACACTCCACAGCACAATGGAGTTGTAGAGAGGAAGAACAGAACCATAATGGACATGGTGAAGAGCATCTTAAAGGCCAAGGGAATGCCAAATTCTTTTTGGGGTGAAGCTGTTTCCTGTTCTGTTTATTTGTTAAACAGGTCTCCAACAAGGAGTCTTCAAAATGTTACTCCCGTAGAAGCATGGAATGGTTTCAACCCAAGTGTGAAGCATCTTAAGGTGTTTGGCTCTATTGCGTTTACTCATGTGCCGGCACAAACAAGGACAAAGCTAGATGATCGTGGAGAGAAGACCATCTTTGTTGGCTATACTCGTGGAGGATTCAAGCTGTTCAATCCTGTGACTAATAAGGTGATTGTAAGTAGCGATGTGACTTTTGCAGAAGATGAAGCTTAGAGGTGGGATCTGAATACAAACAATGACTCCCAAAGGTGATCTGTCACTATTCTTGAAGAAGATTCTCAAGTTACAACAACCAATACTACACCAGAAAATCCCATGACACAAACTCTTACTGAAGCTGGAAGACCAAGGAGACAAAGACAACCACCAGTTACTTTACAGGATTATGAGGTAACATCCGATGATGCTATTGATGATGATGGAAATCTGGTGCACTTTGCCATGTTTGCAGATTTAGAACCCATATTTTTTGAAGAAGCCATTCAAGATCCTAAATGGGTGAATGCCATGCTTGAAGAGATGAAGGCAATTGAGAAGAACAACACATGGGAGCTTACTGACTTACCACAAGATCAAAAAGCAATTGATGTCAAATGGGTTTTCAAGACAAAGATGAAGTCCAATGGAGAGATTGAAAGACATAAAGCAAGATTGGTGGCAAGAGGATTTGAACAGCGTCCTGGCCATGATTATCAGGAGGTGTTCTCTCCAGTAGCTTGAATGGAGACCATTAGATTCATTATAGCTTGGGTTGCACAAAATCAATGGAAGATTAATCAAATGGATGTGAAGTCAACATTCTTGAATGGTCCTCTTGAAAAAGAAGTCTTTGTCAGGCAACCACCAGGATTTGTGAAAGAAGGAAGTGAAGATAAAGTGTACAGATTGAAGAAAGCACTTTACGATTTGCAGCAAGCACCATGAGCATGGAACAAGCGCATTGATTCATTCTTTATCAAGGCTGGATTCAAGAAATGTCCTTCTAAACATGCTTTATATGTGAAGTTTAATGAATCTGGTGACATTTTGATACTCCGTCTTTATGTTGATTATCTGATATTTACAAGCAACAACACCAAAATGATTGAAGACTTCAAGAGGTCTATGTTGCACGAATTCGAGATGACGGATCTTGGTTTAATGTCTTACTTTCTGGGTATAGAAGTGATGCAAAGAGAAGATGGGATCTTTATCTGTCAAAAGAGGTATGCTTCTGAACTGTTGAGAAGGTTTCACATGCATATTTGCAATCCAGCAAGAACTCCTGTGGAGGTTGGAACTAAGTTGTTCAAGGAGGGTGATGATGCACGTGTTAATCCCACTTTCTTCAAGCAACTTGTTGGGAGTTTGAGGTATCTCACATGCACACGACCTGACATCTCCTATGGTGTTGGATTCATTAGCAAGTTTATGGAGTCCCCTCGTCAATCTCATTTGCAAGTTGCCAAGAGAATTATGAGGTACCTAAAGGGCACTTTTGATCATGGTCTATTTTACTCTTCATCTAGCAATTGTGCTCTTGTAGGTTATTCTGACAATGATTGGGGTGGAGACTTAGATGATTGTAAAAGCACTACTGGTTATTGCTTTAATTTTGGCAGTACAGCTTGTTCATGGTCATCAAAAAAGCAGTCGATTGTTGCACTTTCAACTTGTGAAGCAGAGTATGTGGCGGCAGCCTCAAGTGCATGTCAAGCAATATGGTTGCAAAGCTTGAAGAATCAAGTTCGTGTCCCAATTGAAGAACCTATGAAGATCTTTGTTGATAATATTTCAGCTATTAACTTGGCAAAGAACCTAGTCCACCACGGAAGGAGCAAGCATATCGACATAAGATTTCATTATTTGCGAGACTTAATTGACAAAAGGGTGATTGAGTTAAAGTACTGCAAGTTCAAAAATCAGGTTGCTAATATCCTTACTAAACCTTTGAAGAATGAAGCTTTTGTCAAGTTGAAGAGTATGATGGGAATATCTGCTCTACCGAATCAAGATTAAGGTGGGGATGTTGGAGTTAATCTCGATTTTGAAGCTAATTGTTTTGAATGAGTCCTAGTTAGTGGAGTTTATGTGTCCTACTATTGTGGTTGCTGATAGCCACGTTTCCTTATCTTTAAGTTTCAGTTTGTAGTTGCTAGAAAATAGGAGTTTATGCTTTATTAGCCTATTATAAATAGGCAGTTGTTATTCAGTTTAATGTGTAATCATCTTTATCTATTTCTAGCAATAGAAGTGCCTTTTTCTTCCTCTGTTCTGCTCTGTTTTTGGTTGTTTTGCTATCTCTTCTACTACTTCACTCCTCACCAGGAGATTGATCTTTTGAAGGTTGTGAAGAAGGGTTCGGATCCGAAATTTGTAGGCAGGCTTGGGTTGCAGCTGCCTTTGCAAGGGAAGCCCAAAAGCTCTATTAGTCTGCAATGGGTTCAAGGATGGTGAGTACATTTCTCTCGCTCTCTTGGCGAGGAAACTCGCTCTGAATACTGTGATTGTGCTTGAGCAAGAAGAAGAGCTGGATTTGGTGATTGATTTGAGTCAGAGGCTTGGTGTTCGTCCTGTTATTGGGATCCGAGCCAAGCTGAGAACCAGGCACTCTGGCCATTATGGGTCTATTTCCGGCGAGAAAGGGAAGTTTGGGTTAACAACCACCCAGATTCTCAGTGTTGTGAGGAAGCTGGAGCATGCCAGAATGCTTCATTGTCTGCAATTGCTACATTTTCATATTGGGTCTTAGATCCCGTGCACTTTTGTTCTGCAAGAAGGTGTAGGTGAGGCAACACAAATTTACTGTGAATAGGTTCTCCTGGGTGCCAACATGCAGGTCATTGACATTGGAGGGGGTTTGAAATCTGGTGATTCGGATATCTCTGTTGCTTATGGACTTGAAGAGTATGCTGCGGCCGTAGTCACTTCTGTTCGCTATGTTTGTGACCGGAAAGTTGTCAAGCATTCGGTGCTGTGCAACGAAAGTGGAAGGGCTATAGTGTCCCACCATTCCATTCTGATTTTTGAAGCCATTTCTTCTGGGGCTTCCTTTGCTTCCGTAATGGACGGGCTTGCTTTACCTGTTTTGGGTTTTAGGGTTTTTTTTTTTTTTTTTGGTCGGGACGCAGGAACAAGCGTGAAAAGTCTCGCGTGCAATGGGTCCTACTGTACACGTGGCATTCACTTGGGTAAAAAATAAGTCATATCATACAAAAAGGGATTTACGTTGGATCACATAGTGTCACGTCAGTTTTTGAGTGCCATGTAGTGCATTTTTTAATGATGTCGTGACGACTTGTTAAAATATTGAGTTTTTCACATATTTTAAAAAGTAGAGGGTGTGAATAAAGAGAAAAAATATTAGAAGGTATTGAACATGACAATGACGTAAATAGAGGGTGTAAATAGGAGTTTTAGCCATATATATATATACACATATAGTAGAAATTTATTTATATATAAATTTTATATATTATATTTATATAAAGTTTTAATTATTTATTTTTTACTTTTAATTATTAAGATTTATTATAACTTTTTAGATAAAAAAAATATAATTATTTTTAATAAATATGATAAAAAAAATAAATTTTAACTATTAAAAGTATAGAGATAAATAATTAAGATTTTGTATTAATGTAAGGTATAAAACTTGTGTGTAAGTGAATCTTAATAAGTTAAGATTAACTTACATACAAGTTTTATACACTATATTTATATAAAATCTATATTTATATAAAATCTTAATAATTCATCCATCTATTTTTAATAGTTGAGATTTATTCTATTTTTATCAACATGATTTTTTAAATAAATATGATAATTATATATATTGAGAAAGTATTTTACGGACCAAACTGTTATGAACTGTAAAATATTAATCTGAACGGTAAAACATTAACCCCGTTTGATGGGGAGAGCCCACTAATATTGAAGGCATTCCCCCCAATCATAAATTCTTATTTTACAATTCAAAATAGTTAAAATGGTAAAAGAAAAAACCCTATATATATATATATATATATATTTCTTTTAAGCTAATTAAAATTTAAACGTTTATAAGTAAAATTTTAAGTTAAAAACTCTAAATCTAAAGTTATATTTCATTCAATGTATGACATATCAATTTCACTTGAAATGTTTTTATTCTAAATTTTTTTGTTTTTTGGTCTAGAAGTTATATAATACTTTAAATTTGCAAATAAAAAAAAATTGTATCAAATGAATTTAGCTGGTATTTGTATGGTAATAGTAGATGATTTTTTTGGCAAGATATTTGTACAAGTAACCAATTATCTAAAAAATATTTTTAACATAATATTAGTGAGAAAAATCATTGGCCAAAAATTGTTGGTATCAAAAACGAAAAAAAAAATTCGGGCTAAGGTACCCAATGCCACAATGCCCACCCCAAATTTCTTGGCCACCTTCCACTCTGCGAGGATGGACATCCTCCGTATTCGGATGTTTAATTTGTACTTCTTACATTTTTCATTTTTAACTTGTAGAATTATATAAACCTTTTCTAATCTGTGTATTTTTTTTGTCATAAATATATTTAGAAAAATATAAAAATTAATTTTAATTTTAATATAGATGTTAAATAAATTAATTTAATTAAATAGTTAATAAATTAAAATTTAATTTTTATTTTTTAATACAAATTTATGACAAAAAAATATATTTATTACATCTTTAATGATATAAATTAAAAACACCCAATTATATATTAAGATTCTTATTTTGTAGTTCAAACTACAAATCAATAAAGCCTTATTGATTCAATTCTCTCCGCATAAAACGCAACATTGCGAAAAAATAAGTCAAGAAAACTAATAACCAAACATTTATAAGAGAAAAAAAAATAAAGAAAGAAAGAAAGAAAAAGCAGTTTGCTTTGGGGGATGATGAGGAAGACAATTTTGGTTAGGGAATGATAAGTACGACACAGCGAAGAGCAGTGAAGTTCTGACTGAAGGGTATTACAAGATTTTAAGAACATGGCTCACTTAAAATGTTGCAATTATTTTACGGCTAATTCAATAAATAGTCTATTAACTATATAGTTTATTTCAATTTAGTTTAGAAATAATTGTTTTTTAAAAATAATTTATAAATTATCAATTTTGTTTCAAAATTATCTACTTGACAAACATTCCATTAACTAGACTAACGAAAATCTTTTCGGCTGTTGATGTGTACCCCTAAACTTTTAAAAAATGTTAAATATAATATATATATATTTGTGTAGTATTTTGTTTTTTAAGTTTAAATTCTATATCCAATATAATAATTAACTAAGATGAAATTTTAATTTACATTAATTAGGATTCT